TTCATCTGGATGATCTGGGATGGCTGTCGTGGCTAAAGGGCTGGAGAGGACTTAAGAAGAGCCCAGGTACGGTGAAAGATGCGAGAGTGTAGTATGTGGTGTGTTGACAGACTAGATGGTGTAGAATTTTAAGGACTACGTGCACAGGGGATGATGGACCTTTGTTATGGATTATTTGCACTATGTTTGTAATAAATCAGCCCCCCAGGAGGGTACTACTGAGGCAAGAGACCCTGTCATAGAATCCTGCGAAGCCTGAGAGGGCAAGTGGGACAGTAACCATGGTGTTCGGGTACCAAGTGACAAGAGGAAATCATTCACAGTTCCCTGTTTTAAAAAAAAGGGAGTAAAAGAAGAGAGGAGAGAAAGTTGAGTGTTGAGTCCTCTTCAGTTGCCTTAACTGATCAGTCTTTAAGACCTTAGGTCAATTAAGTTGCCTTAGCTGTGTTAAGCTCCTTAAGCATTTAAAACTTTAATTACAGGAAATTGTCTTATGTCCATACTAAAGCACTTTAAGTTCTCAGAAAGTTCCATTGCATACGCAGTTATTTTTAAAATTTTCATGACTTCACATGTCTCTTCAAACTTGGATTGCTTTTCATTGCTTTTTGATGACTGCAAGGCTTCTTGTCCACTGCAGCACACACAACCGCAAGAACCCTGGATAACATGGCAAGGTGGAACTGCTGAGTATGGCTTTCTTAATTCCAAAATCCAACAGGTGATAGTGTCATAAAGGATATGTCTTCACTGCTGAGTTAACTCAGGTGATGAGTACCCAAATTAGTCTAGCCCAGGTGGGAGAAGCCACATTGTAAATCCATCCCTGAGTTACTGTGTTCTCACAGGCATTGCATTCCCCTGAGTAGCATACTGACCCTAGCAAATGTCAGGGAGATTGATGGATGGAGATAAGAGAATCATAGAGACATAAAATATGGGATTGTGATATCACAGGAAGTGGCAATGCTAGCTATGATGTCACAGGAAATGACAGTATAACAGAAATTGTTATGATCTAAACCCTTACTGAAAGAGGAAAACCAATAGGATTTGATGTTTAGCCCAAACCCTTTAAACCACTGCCTGATAACTAGCTTCATCTCTGGAAATGATAAACACAATGAAGACTAAGGAATAAAACTAAAAAAAAAAACAGAGAAATGTTTTGAAATTATATACAAAGAGATTTGTTAAAGGAAAATTGATGTTTGTAAATCTAATTGTTAACTAAAAACTCAGCAACTGAGTGATGCAGTGAGGAGAGCTGAATAGGGGAGATATAGTGAGCCCAGTGTAAAGTTGTGTGGATGGGAAGCCAGGTTGGAAAGAAGTGAATTGTACAAAAGGCCTATTGAGGGGACACCAATCTGCACTGAGGCATTAGCTCTTGAAGGGCTCCGTCATTGCTGCTACCTTGGCTCCTGGAGGCAGCAACACCATGTAGAGCCCTTGGTGAGGCCCTGTCTTTATGTGAAGACACTCAGCTCCAACAACTGCTGCCTAGGCTCCCTGCCATACTGGGGTAGCACTGCTATGGGAGCAACTGTCTCTGCACTGAGGCTTTGTGTACCAACAGCTCCCCACAGCTCTGCAGCTTAATAGACAGAAGACACCAGCACTAGGACAGTCCTTCCATCAGTGATGCCTCAGCACGGAAGCATTGAACTCCCTCTGCCCCAGGCCATCGGCATATCTGTGATTCCCCTCGCAACCTCATGTCACCCATCCACTAAGGGAGCGGGCTGCCATGGAGTAGGAGATATGGAGAACGAACAGATTGGTGGAGAGACATGGAAGTGAGATGGCCCATGGGAGATGCTAGGAGTGAACAGAGATCTGGCAGGCCACAAACTATCAGGGATGTGGAGGGCGGAAGAATCCATATGTGACAACATCAGGCCAGATGCCAGTTCTTGCCCAGGCTGCAGGCATTAACTAGGAACTGACAACTCGTAGCTGGAAACCAGACCAGTTGACTTGTATATTAGTTTTGCTCAAAATAGGTTTTAGTCATGCCTGTATTTAGTGTGTAGATGCTATGGAATGTTTGTAAGTTGCTGCAAGCATTAATCTCACTTGTCATGTCAGTATTTCAGGCTATAAGAAAATATGTAAATTTTGCTTTATAACTTTGAAAATGTTTGGTCTGAACTTGTGAACCCAGGTAACGCATTCCAGTGTTTCACCACCCTCCTAGTGAAAAAGTTTTTCCTAATATCCAACCTAAACCTCCCCCACTGCAACTTGAGACCATTACTCCTTGTCCTGTCCTCTTCTACCACTGAGAATAGTCTAGAACCATCCTCTCTGGAACCACCTCTCAGGTAGTTGAAAGCAGCTATCAAATCCCCGCTCATTCTTCTCCTTTGCAGACTAAACAATCCCAGTTCCCTCAGCCTCTCCTCATAAGTCATGTGTTCCAGACCCCTAATCATTTTTGTTGCCCTTTGCTGGACTTTCTCCAATTTATCCACATCCTTCTTGTAGTGTGGGGCCCAAAACTGGACACAGTACTCCAGATGAGGCCTCACCAATGCCGAATAGAGGGGAACGATCACGTCCCTCGATCTGCTCGCTATGCCCCTACTTATACATCCCAAAATGCCATTGGCCTTCTTGATAATAAGGGCACTCTGCTGACTCATATCCAGCTTCTCGTCCACTGTCACCCCTAGGTCCTTTTCCGCAGAACTGCTGCCTAGCCATTCGATCCCTAGTCTGTAGCAGTGCAATACTAGATCCAAGGAATCTTGTTCTGCAGACTTGGAAGCTGAATGAAGGAAATAAAGACACAGGAAAATTTTCCATCTCTCTTCAATCTTTGAATTCTCACAGGGCTAGAGACACCGAACTGAAGCCAAAGCTCCCCAGGGGTTATTTCCTGGGTCCACCCTGAAAGACACTTTGAATTGACAGATCACTGCAACTCTGTCACTTGTAGGATTTAGATAATAACTCATTTGTGTGTATATGTTTGCTCGCTTTAACCTGTAAATAACTCTCTTATTTCTTTTTTCCTAGTTAATAAATCTGTAGATAGCTTATTACAGGATTGGCTACAGGCATTGTCTTTGGTGTAAGATCTAGGGCACCAACTGATCTGGCGTAAGTGACTGGTCTCTTGGGACTGGAAGCAACCTGAATATTGTGGGATTTTTCGTGTTAGTGACTATGTATCACTAAGTCTAGTTTGTCTGGGTGGCAAGATAGACTAGAGAGTCTAAGGGGACTGTCTGTGATTTCCATGGTGAGACTGTTCTAGTGATACAGGAGTTCACATTTGTTACTGGCTTGGTGAAATCTAATAATACTAACTGGGGTGTCTGACTTGCTTTTGACAGTCTGCCTTGAGGTAGACACTCATGGTCATGAGCCGTTCCAGACAGCATGACACCACATTCCTTACGTCCATCCTCCCCAGGCTCCAGGGAGGTCTTTACTGTCCTGTGCAGTAGTCCTGATTTGACAGCCTTGTTGTTGTCCACCAGACTGCGACTCCCCTTCAGTGGGCCTCACTGGAAAGACAAGGTGCCTTCAGAGTACAGCTGTGAGGTTTGCTGAGGTACCATCAGCTACACACTTCCATGAAAGAAAAGGAGTACTTGTGGCACCTTAGAGACTAACCAATTTATTTGAGCATGAGCTTTCGTGAGCTACAGCTCACTTCATCGGATGCATACCGTGGAAACTGCAGCAGACTTTATATACACACAGAGAATATGAAACAATACCTCCTCCCACCCCACTTCCATGACTCATTGTGATCCTCCCTGCCCCTGCTATGGAGTAAAAATTGTACAGTCTGTCTTCTGTTCTGAGTAGGTGCATCTTGTGAGGTTCAAAATTGAAACACAGACTTTTGATCTGACTCTGAAAGAGTCTAACCCAAAGCACCAAAAGTCAGGCTAATTGAAGTGACTGCCTAAAATGCACCCTAGCTGCATTAGTTTGGCCTTTTCCTGCATTTGTAGGACTTTCTGCAGATTATCTCAATATCTTCACTGTAGCAGAGTGTGAGTTGTTGTACCCTGGTCACTGAGGTTGCTGCAGCACAGAGAAGGCTGAAGGCTTAACTGGAATCAACCAAACCATTACTGGAGGAGATTACTAACACTTGGAAGCAACTATTGGGTTAATGAGGTAATTGGCTTAGTAATGGGGATGATATATAACTATGAAGATGAGGTAAACAAAGAGGGAGAATGCGGGGGAGAGAGAAAAATCCTGTGAAAAGCCCCTCCTGCTGTACACCTGTGCTGTAATCCTGCCCCAGTTGGAAATCCAGGATTAAAGATGCACTTGATGAAAAAGAAACAGGCTTAAAAATGGGCTAGACAGTGCTGCTCCCAGGGTAGCTTGAGGGGCGCCCTGTGACTTGTACAATTAGTTAAATGAAATGTATTCAAGTGAATTTATGCCTGATGCATATTTGCCAACATTTGACATCTATAAAAAGGGACATTTGGGGAGGGAAAACAGGAATATCTTTGAACTCTATTTTAATACATTGGAATATAAAGTTGAGAAGTAAAATAAAATAAAATCATAAATATTCTCTCTTTTAAAAATAGGGATTTCCTCTTTAATGGCCCAATCTTGCATTCATTATACATCCAAAACTTCCACCAACTTCACATGGGAGTTAGGGCGCATGAAATATGCAAGGCCAGGCTCTTAATTGGGGCTTATTGTATGTAGGAGAAGTGAATTGAAAAAGAGAACTTACATTGGGTTGCACAGTTTGACATTGTGGCACGTTTCAAAGGAATGTCTATATGAGATTGCTGTTCTTTACAAAGGTCACTGTAAAATACCTTTCTCTGTTAGTTCTTGCTTCAGAAACCCATTCCTGGCCTGTCTGCTGTCCTCCTGAACTTTGTTAATGAAGCAAAGTTCTGTCGGGTTATATCTCCGACCTTCAGACTTTATTATATGGAAAATCATAAACTTTATCCAAGGAAGATATAAAAAGGACAGTTATAACACATTCTCTCTGCAGAACTTGCTTCCAGGCTCAGCATTTGATCTGCCCTTCTTAGCCAGCATGCCTGCTGATTACAATGGAACGTGGGAAATGGAATCCAATGAAAACTTCGACGGTTACATGGTTGCCTTAGGTAAATGAAAAAAATACGATATTGGGACAAGAGCTTTTATTTATCAATCATGCCTATTTAAAAAAAATAATAGTACAGCGGTCTTACTCCTTTGATATGTTTTGGGGATAAGAGTTTCTGGCAGTAATATTAAAAAATCATACACTTGCTATAATATGTCTAGATAAAATTGAGTGACTTCCCGAGCAAGTAACAAGATACTCCATAGCAGTGGAGCAAAAACTGTAACTGAACTAACAGGTATAGTAAAAAGTTTACATAGTAATGAACCTTCTAATAATTTTTATGGGAGCATATTTCCACAGCAAGAAAATTAAAGTTATTAATAAATGGAATCCTTATTTAGATGTTAAAAGAACACTGAAAGAAAGTTAATTTAGTGCAAGCAGCACATTAAGAGAGCTGGAAATGTGAATGGAGACCAAGCTCCTAGTAATGCCGATGTCACTCTATTTTCCCCACATTAGTGTCTTCAATTATTATAATGACAGTGTAAAAGTTTTACAAGGGATAATTGTCTTCTGTTAATTTGAGGACCATTTTATATTTGATCTTTTCAATACAAATGTAATTTCAGATGTTTTAGTTTGCATGCAGATAAAACTATCTTAACCCTATAGGATATTATGGATACCTAAGGGGTCTGACTCATGCGAGTTTCATGATATTTAGTATTTTTCTTAAAGTCTTAGCTACTGGATCTGAGAATTTCAGCTTTAATTTTTGGGGGGTGGGGAAAAATATCCCTCATTTTTGCAGAGGACAGCCTGAAAATGTGAAATGAGAGCACCCCAGAGGCTCAGAACCAGGAGGCTGACAAAAAGAGCCCAACATTTATTATTATTTTAAAATCATGATTATAAGCCAATCTCATTATTTGGAGTGGGTGGACTCATGACTTTTGAGTGCTTGATGCTGGCAAGACTACACGAGGGATGGAAAATCCTTTCCACTCAACTCAAAAGTGATCTCTGAACAAATGTACTGTTGGGAAAAGCAGCTAAAAGAGCTCTAATATTGTTGTCATTCTTGGTGACTGACAAATTCTCTTCATTGTTTAAATGTCCTTCTTCCTTATAGGCTAGTCTAGGCATGCACTTGAAGAGTATGAGTCTCTCTTCCAACAGGACTGAGAGTTTTACTAAGTCTTTTAATCTGGTTGTAATGTCACTCAACACTCTGTTCCTTTCTCCTCTCCTAAACTCTCCCTTGGGTATCATCTGCTAATATTGTTGTATTGATTCTGTCAGTTGGGTCATAACTGCTCATATCTACTCTTCTTAAAAACTTTTACCAAGAAGGCCAGCAATTGGTAATAATATTATTAATATCTCTCTTTAGATTGGTACTTCCCCTCTAAAATTTAGACTGAAATTCAATAGGCGCTTGGTGCCTCACTCCCATAGGATGTGTATTATTTCATCTTTAAACATTCTAATCCCGATCGTGCTACAATAAGCAATGGGCTTCCCAATTCTCTGCTTCCTTTTGTGTCATAACTAATAGCAGTGCTTTTGTCACATCTCCGTTCCATCCTCAGGACTATTTCAGTTAGTGATGACAACAGGATACCTGACTGAAACCATCCTAAAATTATCTTACTGGATTTCTCTGGGGTGTTTGACACATTAGACTATAAAATAAAGGGCTTGATTCAGCCCCTGGGCCCCTCAGGTGGAAATAGGACCACAGGAACCCAGCACTGAGAAGTCCACTTGAAGAAGGATTTGCAGAAATTTAAGCCACCCACAATTCCTGATCTGCTGGGTTGCTCAGAGGCGGTTGGTGCAGCACTGAGAAGCCCACTTGAAGAAGGATTTGCAGAAATTTAAGCCACCCACAATTCCTGATCTGCTGGGTTGCTCAGAAGCGGTTGGTGCAGTACAGTGAATGGGCAGGCCCAGACTAGGTGGGAACAGGGACATTTTGCCTGGGAGACAGGCTGATTCATTACATCTCCTGTACTGCCTCCACTGGAGATGTGCCTACTGAACCTCCTGATGGAGTTTAAAGATAGCCTCCCCCTAAGAAACTTGGTGTGAGGTTGCAGAGTGAGAGCCATGTTTACACCAATTGGCTTTGGATCAGGCCCTTTGTTCTGTGGGTTTTCTGGCCATGTTTTATGCACTGCACTTCAGTGCTAGTGAAAAGTGCCTCACCTAATTTGCCACAAAGCAGTATCTAGATGTGTATTTCTGTGTGTGGTACTGAGAATTTGTCCCTCACTTACTGTATTATCAATGAAAAAGAAATTATATGGAAATAGTGAAAAGAGATTTTTCTGCTCTGTTTCTCCCGATTTTACATTTGGTTGGTATTCTAAGAATTAAGAAGTTCAGGTCCAAAGCACAATGAAGCTGAACTTTTTGAGGTTCATTCATCCTTATAATTGCTACATATGCATTCATATACTTTAATTAACAAATCATTTTGCCCTTTAAGCCAGAAACTTTAACTTTTTCATAAGCATGTTACAAAGTATTTCAATCTAATCTAATAGAACCATGTTTCATCTTTATTGCTTGTATTGTTCAAAATGTGTTGTGTTCAAAATGTGTTTAATAAAACCTCCCCTGATTTTCTGCAGTAGTGCAAGATTAATAGATTAGTCAGAAATAGCATTCCTTTGGAAAATTAGACTTCTTTCCTCCGAGAGACCTAAACTTTGTTACCTGGCTGTAAATCAGACCCAGAGATACCTTTAATCCACAGCAACAGAAAAAATATACTTGAGAACCCTTGAGTATAAATACTTGAATATGAACATCATTTCCTATGTTAAAGTAACATTTTTTGTTTTGTTTTCCAGCCAGTCCTTTCACTCAATTCAATTACTGCCTTAGCAGTAGCATAATCAATCCACCAAAAGAAAATGGGCTCCATTTGTACAAGGTTGTGCCGAGACGAAAATGATTAATTTGTATGTGAAAAAGCTCAAGGATGGTTAACAAGCCACACTATTTTTCAGTCTCTGAGAGAAACATGTTAGATTATTTCATTTGCATATAACACCATAACAAGATTCACTGCCAAATGGTCAGATATTTATTGTACCTGGCAATGCAGCTGGCATTAAGTGTATTGTCTAGAGTAAATTGTGTCATGATGGTAATATATTTGACATATCTTTCAGGGCATTCAGTTGCAAATAGTTGTTTATATTATGTTAGTTTTCATCACGAACAGAGTACGGAATGGTAAAGGGGATCAGGCACAAAATGCTGACTGAATATTAAAGAGGGCGTCAAATGCAGTACTCTTTGGCTATTTGCCTTTTTGTTTTTAACTTTCCATCCTTTACCCATATGGAAGCTGCAAAATAATCTTTTTCTATCCATTTTTGTCCTTTAAAGTCTGACCAACTTTGATTTTTGTTTCTAACATTCTTTCCTAGGGACAATTAGCGAATATAGCTCTTATTTGTTTACTTATTTACATGCAAGCATCATTTCTGCAAAGGGTTTCCTAATTAATATGATTCTGATTCAAACTACTTTACAATAAGGGGGATAATGGCTTTTACAGATGGCTGTTAAATCACATGCAGTATAGTCCCAGTGTCAATATAAATGCAATCAGTTCCACAGATTACACACAGTCCCAAACAATAATCTGTGATTATGGTGAAATAAAAGATACATGCCAAAATTCACTGGATCAGACACATCTACTGCATATCTACTGCACCCATTCTGAGATCCTTCTATAGATGTGAGGAGACCTGGTCAAAGAGTAGTACTGGAGCGGTACTGTTTTCTTGAAAATTTTCACCGAAAGCAGTGGAAATTTTATTTTTTCCAAAAACATGAATATGGAAAATCTTGGAGATTTTCAGTTTTTCTCCCACTTCGTGCCTCCCCTTGCCCTTCATTTTGTCACTGAAAAAAGAAGAGGGGTATATGAAGGTGGAAAAATACCCAAAACTGAAAAAAAACGGGCTTCTCATCAAAAAATTAGAACACTTTTTGAAAAAACACAAACTTTCCTCAATTTTTCATTAAAAAAAAGACCTTTTTTGTCATTAAAAAAAAGTTTCAAGTGAGAAATGTCAGCCAATTCTAGAAGAGAGTTACTCCACCTTGTTTTACCTGTAATTGAGAGGATTATATGTGCAAATGCTTTTCATAGAGTAGTTTTCATAGTTTTGGAGTATATATAAAAGTATCTTTTGCATCTTTGTACCAGAAGTTGGAATTTGGCTAGGTATATCATACACTTCTGTTTTGTTTGTTGATAGGCATTGATTTTGCCACTCGTAAGATTGCAGGACACTTGAAACAAACGAAAGAAATTATTCAAGATGGAGTCAATTTTAAGACAAAAACACTGAGCACTTTAAGAAACTATGAACTGAATTACTCTGTGGGAGTGGCATTTGAAGAATACACCAAGGGGCTTGACAACCGAGTTGTGCAGGTATACACTTAGTATTTGATTTCCATGTACACTGCAGTTAAAAACAGGGCAAGCAGTTCTGTAAATTTCCTGACTAAAAATAATGGAAAGCAATTTACAGATATTAGAGAATGTTTGTCTCTAAAGTGCAGGTAATTTGCATTTTTCTTTCACATTGCAAATATTTATTTTATAGGCAAATCAGGAAGGTTTCCCAGATTTGTGAGGGCAATAACTCATTACATTTTTTCTAGCAAGGAATCTTTCCTGTCATTCTATGATAAACCTCTTTGTAGTGTTCTATATTTAAAAGTAAAGAGAGGAAGTATATTTTGTCACTTATAATTTAGCTGCTGCTGAAGTTGCACTTTAAAACTACTAAGACTTTTTTCCCCTCCACATTATTTTAAAATTGCCAGTTCTATCTGAGTCTGTTCCTGTAAGCCCTCTACATGTGGAATTCCCATGGAAGTCAGTGGGAGTTCCGCGAAAAGACCTCTTAAGGGATCATGGCCTGAACAATTTGGTGTATTCATTTACTGAACACACCCTTGCTTTCCTCTACCAATACTGCCATCAGTTTTATTCCCCTAACATCCCCTGAAAACATGTAACAGAGACTTTCAACAATGCAAAGGACCTTTGAAAACCTGCCCCAAACAGCCACTCACCTCTCTTTCTGTTATCATTTGTTGATCCTATCAATGCCAACTCTTCAGCTGGTAACCAGTTCTACCCTCTTCCTCAGCTCTTGGCTAACTTGCTGCTCTCTGACCTTACACCTACTTCTGCATCATTAACTTATCCCAACCACTCACCTCTCTTTCTGTTATCATTTGTTGATCCTATCCATGCCAGCTCTTCAGCTGGTAACCAGTTCTACCCTCTTCCTCAGCTCTTGGCTAACTTGCTCCTCTCTGACCTTACACCTACTTCTGCATCATCAACTTATCCCAGTAAACAGCTTTAATCTCTGAACTCAGATCCTGCTGTCAGCCTCTGGAGAGATGGTCGCACAGCTCAAAGCTTACTGACAGCAAGACCCACTTTGTCTCATTAGTCCTCGCAGAGGAAGTAGGCAGCATATAGAGATGAATCCTGTCCTTATCTGCGTTCATGGAATCCCCCAGAGGAGCTGCACAGGTTTAACTGAAGGCATTTTTTGAGCCATAGGCATGCTTTTGTTCTCACTTGCCCCAGTTTCACGTGAGGTAGCTCTTCTGGAGTTACTTCTGATTCACAACACTGTAAGTCAGAGAATAATCAGGCTTATAATGTCCTTTCTAGGCTTCCAAATCCCCTGCTTTAACCTTTATCACTTCTCCCCAGCCCTTTCTACAGTGAGCATGGTGAGGTACTAAACAGCTTTACTGCTTTAAAACAATGCACACAAGTCTCCACTGATCCATCTATAACCTGGTCCATCTATAACCTTCCCCACTCTCCTTCCCCTGTGTCAAAGCCATCAGCAATCTCATCTGTGAACAAAATTGTCTTCACTGAACTCTCTGTAACCTTATTTTTCTCCTCTTATCTTGGGACAAGTTGGACTTCCTTGTTGCAACATTATAATTCCACCTGATCTCTTATCTAAATGATTGCTACCTGATATCATTTCCCCTGTATAAATTGTTGTGTAGTGGAGAAAACTTTATTGCTAGTCTTAGGCGACATTATCCTTATCTTGATTCTGACTGTACTGTGCTGTAATTTTAGTCATGTCTTAATCATTTCCTGTTTTGACGAATGATGTTCCATCTTCACAGTCTCCCTAAATCCCTCTCTCAACTTTAGAGAGTCCAGAATGCTGTGGATATGCCATTTTCTCTCTTTCCCTAAATCTAGAGATTGTGGAGAGTCACGTTCACTGGTTTCCTATTAGTCTCCAGTTCTAATTTAAAATTGCCCTTGATTTTTCCAGAACTCTGCCTCTGGATTCATTTCCTCTTCTCTCTCCAACTACATGCACAACACTTTCCACTTCTCCAGTTTTGGCTTGTCTCTACCCCTTCTGCACTGTGGGAGGTGGAGGAGGCTTAGGCCATTCATTCACCCCTGCCTCTGGTGCGCATTCTACCTGGAACTCATTGATTATTTTTTTGTATCATCATAGTACCTAGGAGCCCCAGGCCTGGACGAGGACCCCATTGTGCTAGGTGATGTACAGAACAACAAGACTGTCCCTGCCCCAAAGAGCCTATGCTCTAAATATAAAACAAGACAATAGATTGTTTCCTTATACACCCCCATCAATGAGACAATATTTGTCAGCATGATAGGGAGTGGTACCAGCAGCCAAGCCATGCCTCCATTCTCTCCCTTTAACGAAATACTCAGTTTAAATTTCATTGTGAAAACATATGACTGCTCTGGCTTTAAAGCTCTTGGTTACAGCGCCTGAAGGATGCTATAAAATAAACTATAACTGTGTTGTACCAAGTGTCATTTACATACTTTTTCTCTGTCTGTCTGTTTTATGTACAGACAGAGGCGGTGTTAATGCTGCACTAGTCACTATGATCCATAGCATTCCAGTTATTGCACTTTATAGAATAGCACTGCATATGAAAACTGTATTTTTCTTTTCTCGCTATATGAAAGCATTAATAAAAAAAGATTATAAACAGCATCAGAAATTCAATTAACTCATTCCCCTTCCTTTGCACACATATGGTCTGTATCATGGTATCTGAAGAAATAATTACAAGGTGACAACATAAAGAACTTTATACTAAGTGGCATTTGGGCCACTAGTGTCTTCAGACAAGCAGGTGGGATTTTCTGATCACACACTGCAGTTATGCTACTTCATTGTTAGTTCTGGTGTATTTCGATGTTTTCCAAAATCCCTAGTTAACTTACTGGATTTAATCCTTTGATCGCTGCAGACGCTCGTGATTTGGGATGGTGATAAATTAGTATGTGTCCAGAAGGGAGAGAAGAAAAACAGAGGCTGGACACATTGGATTGAAGGGGAGAGACTGCATTTGGTAAGAGCTGACTTTCAACTATAGAATGTAACAGAGACTGTGGAATCGTATAGTTACTATAGTTCCAAGGATTTTTTTCATTTTACTCACACAGCTCTGATACCTAAACTCTAAAAACCCCTTTCTACCAGAACCGCGGCTGTTTAATTTGTCTCCACCTACTTCCTAAATAAACCACAAACCTACAGTGACTTTTGGTCCAGTTCACTGCACTGCAGCCCTTCCAGTTACATAGCACATCCAATTCCTTCCGCATTTTGAGTAAATACTAAAAATAAACCACAGTGTTTATGTGCTGAATAAAACCTGTAAGAAAAATATTTTTTTGTCATTCCAAAAAATGAGTTCTAGCAAGAACTATGCAGTTATCCAGATGAGAAAAAACTCTCCCAGAATACACAGGGAAACCTAGTGAGCAATCTATAGTGTAGTTATCTTGTGCTACTGCTCCCGCTCCCGCCCCGCAAAAAAAAAAAAAAAAAAAAATGTCAAACAGTTGAGTTAGGAAACGGGGATGCAAAGAGAAATGCAGCAAGCCGTAGAGATGCCATATGGGCCTGTAAAGAAAATAAAGCAGTCAATGACATCTGGAAAGAGAAATGAGAGCATATGGAGGAACGCTGGAGTCCCAAGAAGAACAATCGGTAAATTGTGCATGGTAATGCTGGATGTTAGGGGCTCAGAAAGAGACAGTAACAGGCAGAATCACACAGCTTTTAGTGAGTAGTTTAATACTAACTTCACCAAATTTGGATCTGTATAGATAGTTAGGAATTATTTTGCCTATCAGAATATGAATTTCTTCACCCTAGAACTGGATTGCTGGCTATAATACAGAGCTCAGAGTTATCTATTTGATGGACAGTATGCATTAATATTTTCTTTTTAGCATGTCTCCTCTATTTATCACATGAACAGCCAGATCCTCAGCTGGTGGAAATTGGCACCGCTCCATTGACTGAAGTGAAGCAATGAAAACTTGCACCAGCTGAGGATCTGCCTTGAAGTCTTTTCTTGTTAGAATTAATTTTGTGCGGTTATATAAGCCACATTTTACATTCTGGATGGTTGTGATGGCCATCTAACTACCATTGGAAGGTCAATCAGATTAATAAAAAAATACTATTGTTTTCTTCAATCTAAGCAGAAACCATTGTCACCCAGCTGACAGACAGACTTCTACTACCCTATTATAATATAAATTCAAAATTTGCCAATAATTCCATTAATGAAAGTTCTCATTATTGGCACCAGGATTCAAACTGAGATCTCTGGAAACAGGAGGACCTAGTGGGCTGGTGCATGAGTCTATTGAAACACTATTGGCCTTGTACCCATCCTTTCTGAGACTTCCCTCCACCCTCTTTTTGTAATTCCCTTGTTGCTTCAGTGCTTCTAATAAATTATAGTATGTTGTTTTGATAATAGAGTATGCAAAGCCACACCATTACAGAGCCATTTCAATGCATTTTTCATTTTTATACTTTTTAAAACTCAATTCAAGTGTCAAAATCTAATTATCACAACCTGCAATGCATGTCAGCTAATTAGGGCTTCATAGAACATACTGCTTTTTTTAAATAAGCAACACTCTTCTTGATGTTGTGGTTCAGCTGGTCTTACAGTGATTTTTCAAAGGGGGATGGGATGTAGATGGGAAATATAGCTCAGAATAATATATACTTACCAATTGTTTTAATGCTGTAGGAGCTGACATGTGAAGACCAGGTGTGCCATCAAGTATTTAAGAAGAAAAAGTAAGCTAACCAGAAAGTCCAACCGGTTCCACGCTGTGCTATTATGCTATTTGGGTTTTTTAAAAGCTATGTAATGCCTGCTTGACACTGCCATGTAAGTGCATTTCTGTGCACTGTTAACTAAGGCAAACACATCCTTTAACACTAACATTGAAACACTTCTGCATGTTTTAAGGTCTCTTGCCTTTCAATCCAGAGTTAAATAAAAATAATTCTCATTCTTGTAATTACTTCTTTCACTTCTAAAATCCTGGTAATTTTTCCAGAAGTAGGATAGTAAGTCCTCTAAGAACAATCCAGTAACTAAACAGTCACAGTTATCTCAACAACAGAACATCTCTCTGTGGTGCTGTAATATCATAATATGTTTGGATGAGTGAGTGTAAATCTGACATTCATTGTACTGCTTCTATTTAATTTAGTTCTGGGTCACTAAATCCATAGTTTCAGGCAACAGGATGGCTCAACAGATTTGTAATAGGATACACAGACTTTCACATCTAGGTCACTAATTTGAATTCAGCCCAGGTCCATAGCTACTGAAAATTCTTACCAGCTGACAACTGTTTGATGTGAAAAGTGTTGGTGTTTTCTTAGTCCAATCCTAATAGACAGATGCTCACAACCCCAAACCAACCATCATAATTGGCTATCTATTTAGTAATCTCAGTGGAGAGAACAGAGACTGAACTAATCTCTCAACTCAAGAGCTGGTCCCTATAGTTAAGCTTGAAGCACGTTGACAGGGGCTGCATGTGGAAGCCTGCACAACAATTATGTATGCTGCACCTATTCTGTGTGTAAACAGTCTCCTGTGCTCTCAGTCTTGTACCTTGTATCTTTTACGGTTTGTTGTTAGTCTGCAGTTTCCAGCTCTCTCTTTGGGTATCTACAGTTTAATTACCTGACTGTTTAGGGTTTTCTAAAGGATTTTGTGCTGTTTGCTGGGGACAAGTTTAAATCAACCATGGATGATAAAGGACCCATATTTTCAGTAGATGGAGCCTGAAATCATGGTGCCAAATGTGCACCATATATGTATCAGTATTAACATGATACATATTTGGACACCCAGATACTTATAAGTGCTGGGCAAATATATGTGCATGAACTTTTATTATTATTTATTTTATTATTAACTGATCTGAGCCTCCAGTGGTTGAAACTGATACTGTTATGGAATTCTTTGTGTGATTTCTGATTAAAGACTGATAGTTTTCTGGTCTAACATAGCGGTAATGCATCTGTTTGTCGACGTTTGTCCACAAAGATGAGGCAATTCCTTACTACTTGTTAAACCCACCTCTGGAACTTCCACCAGAAACAGGTGGCCATTGTTCAGCTGAATTCTTATTATGTTACGTTCCAGAGTTCTCTTGGTACTAGGTGGGTTTATGGGATGGAAGTGGGTGGCGTGTAAATCACTGATATAGATGGGGAACTTTAAACTTTTGAGACAGGACAGATCAGAAAGAAGACAGGATCAGCTATTTGGGTAATATCACTTTCCTACACACATTCTGGAGTAAATAATTTCAGGCTTTTACAAATGGGAAAGGAAGATGTGCCTCAAGGTGATCCATGCTGAAAAACTATCCCCTTCTTTCTGCTATTTCTGGGCCCCCCATGTACTTTATGCTATGCAAGAACTTTTCATGAGCTTTAGAACTGTAGGCTCTGCAGTGGAGATAGATGTGGGGTGATCCATTGTGTTGTGATATACTTATTTGAAGAAATACAGACTAATTTATACAATACACGTTAGGGCAGGTTGGTCTCCAAGCTGTGTAAAACCCGCATTTCCCACTCAGCACGTGAACTATTTGCATTAAAGAAAAGGACCTCACATATAAATATAAAACTCATTCAGAATTTCTCAGCTACCTGGTAATGCGGTACGGTCTCAACTGTTTTGAAAAACTGTCCTTCCCACAGAATGAATGTCATTTAAGAATTGTTCAGAAGGAGGACCAGCTACAAGCCACCAATTGGCCCAGGAAACCAATGAGGTTGGCTACAAACACTGTAGTTAACTCATTGCCTAGGAGTTAGAGCACAGGTCTGCGCATCAGCAGCATTACCTGCCACTGGAAATAACACCGTGTGTGAGGGAAGTGTTTAGGGTGGGATTTTCAAAAGTGCTCAGCCTTTGCCCAACTTTCATAGTAATCATAGAATATCAGGGTTGGAAGGGACCTCAGGAGATCATCTAGTCCAACCCCCTGCTCAAAGCAGGACCAATCCCCAATTTTTGCCCCAGATCCCTAAATGGCCCCCTCAACGATTGAGCTCACAACCGTGGGTTTAGCAGGCCAATGCTCAAACCACTGAGCTATCCCTCCCTGCTTTGAGCCTGTTAAAGTCAATGGGCATTTTACTATTGATTTTAATGAGAGCAGCGTTAGATAATGCTGAGGGCTATAGAAAATCCCACCTTTAGGGTACATCTATGCTCCAAAAAAGAATACTATTAATAATGGGGATAACAAGTCTCAAGTCCAGGTCAACTGACTCAGGCTCATGGGGCTATGGGGCTAAAAATAGCAGTGTAGACATTCCCACTCTGACTGGAGCCTAGGCTCTGCCACCTTTCCCCCCTTTCCAGGTTTCAGACCCTGGGCACCAGCCCAAGCAGTAACATCTGTATTGCTATTTTTAGCCCCATAGCATGAGCCCTGTGAGCCCAGTTAGTTGACCCAGGCTCTGAGACTTGAGGCTGTGAGTTTTGGGTTTGGTTGGGGTCAGTTTGTTTGTTGGTTTTTTTGTTTGTTTGTTTGTTTTTGCTGTGTAGACATACCCTTAATGCACAAAGGCTGCTTCCCAGGCTTCCTCCCCCAGATCCATGGTGATCCAGCCACGCGGTATGTGCACAGTGAGGCTTCCATGATCATACTGCAGAGCAACCACTATCTCTGACTTTCCTGCTTGTGGAGCATTTCTGCCCCACCATAATTTCATAAACCCCTCGCACCACACTGGAAAAGGGCCCTAGGGCTGTTAAACAAGCATTTACTTGACGAAGGCTTGATGAAGACAAATAAAGAGGCACTGACAAAGTCATTTAATTACAACATTTGTCTGTGCTTTTTCTAACTGCTGAGCATATAGTTAGCCTTGGTGGAGAGAGATTAATAGAAGCAACAGATGCCTTCAGATTTTTAATGCAGATTTTTCCCCCCACTAGAACAGGCTCTTTTCAGTTTTAATTTGTGATTGATTCCAAGGGCAGGGGTTGCAGATGTTTTAATTTTGGCTTCCTGATTACACTTGTTATGCAGATGGTGAAGATTAGCTGGAATCATTTTGTGAAAATGAGATTTAAAAATAATAATAAGCCAAGCTTTTTGAGAGCCGCAAGGATTTTGTCAATTATTTTCTGAGTTTCACACTTTCGCTAATTATAACTTGTGCTGCAGTGATTCAGTCATCACTAAGTAAGGGAAAGAGGGCAACAAATGAGAGTGCATATTGCAGAGCTAGCAGACCATGAACCTATGGCCTCATTAGCAAGAAAGCCCTCTGCAACAGGATGTAAGGCCCTGCCTCAGCATATATACACCAAGAGGTAAACTCCTTGCTACACTCTACAGCTGCTTACACCCAAACAGCAGAATGAGTTGGAGAAAAGGAGCTGGGCTTTGAGCCAGGGCCTGAGACTCCTCTGCCTTGAATGCTTGTGCTATTCACACCTGTGCAAAGTAAGTGTCAGTCTCTACCAGATCAGAGTGGTAGGGCTTGATACTCCTCTAATTTATGCTGTCAGCAATAACTGCACTGAAATGTCATGGGTGTAAAACTAGTGTAAGTGAGAGGAGGATCAGGCCCATGCTTTATTACTACTCACTGCACAGGGGTACGTGTTTACAGAAGGTGCAAGACAGAGGCAAATCAGACCCTGAGGCCTGAGTCAGGAGCTAAGGCCTTGTCTACACTATAAAGATGTACCATTTAACAATACTGTACAAATACCCTAGTGTGGATACAGTTATACTGGAATAACAGTACTTTCTACCAAGATAGCTACAGACAGAGGAATATGCTACCATATGGTCCCTTCATACCAGTATAATTGCATCCACACTAGGGATGGTTTAAAAAAATCATACCCCTAACAAAAAGAAAAGGAGTACTTGTGGCACCTTAGAGACTAACCAATTTATTTGAGCATAAGCTTTCATGAGCTACAGCTCACTTCATTGGATGCATACTGTGGAAAGTATAGAAGATCTTTTTATACACACAAAACATGAAAAAAATGGGTGTTTACCACTACAGAAGGTTTTCTCTTCCCCCACCCCACTCTCCTGCTGGGAATAGCTTATCTAAAGTGATCACTATCCTTAAAATGTGTATGATAATCAAGGTGGGCCATTTTCAGCACAAATCCAGGGTTAAACAAGAACGTCTGGGGTGGGGGGGGGGGAGGTAGGAAAAAACAAGGGGAAATAGGTTACCTTGCATAATGACTTAGCCACTCCCAGTCTCTATTCAAGCCTAAATTAATTGTATCCAATTTGCAAATGAATTCCAATTCAACAGTCTCTCGCTTGAGTCTGGTTTTGAAGTTTTTTTGTTGTAATATCGCAACTTTCATGTCTGTAATCGTGTGACCAGAGAGATTGAAGTGTTCTCCGACTAGTTTATGAATGTTATAATTCTTGACATCTGATTTGTGTCCATTTATTCTTTTACGTAGAGACTGTCCAGTTTGACCAATGTACATGGCAGAGGGGCATTGCTGGCACATGATGGCATATATCACATTTGTGGATGTGCAGGTGAACGAGCCTCTGATAGTGTGGCTGATGTTATTAGGCCCTGTGATGGTGTCCCCTGAATAGATATGTGGGCACAGTTGCAACGGGCTTTGTTGCAAGGATAGGTTCCTGGGTTAGTGGTTCTGTTGTGTAGTATGTGGTTGCTGGTGAGTATTTGCTTCAGGTTTGGGGGCTGTCTGTAGGCAAGGACTGGCCTGTCTCCCAAGATTTGTGAGAGTGTTGGGTCATCCTTCAGGATAGGTTGTAGATCCTTAATAATGCGTTGGAGGGGTTTTAGTTGGGGGCTGAAGGTGACGGCTAGTGGCGTTCTGTTATTTTCTTTGTTAGGCCTGTCCTGTAGTAGGTGACTTCTGGGAACTCTTCTGGCTCCATCAATCTGTTTCTTCACTTCCGCAGGTGGGTATTGTAGTTGTA